CACCGACATTGCACCGACATTCAAACGGCTTTGCAATCTTGTGCCATAACCCACAGTGCCACACCAGGACTCCTTAGTCTCATTTAGGGTGGCTTAAAAATATATATAACCAGTCAAAATAATGGTTTCTGAGGGAATCTGCTGGCCCAGTTAAATTCAAGGCAGAGTGATCAGCCAAAAGTTTACAAAAACTGCTTTTTGGAGATTAAAAAAACAAACAAAATAGATTTTCTCCAAGGGCAAAGGATGATCATAGGAGCTCATTTAGAGGACGTCTTTTAAAAAAGTGAAAACTGCATTGGTGAGATAAGGGTCAAGGAAGTTTTTCCTATCACAGCAATGTAGCTGCTTATTATTTGAGAGTAGCATGGGCTGTCCTCAGAGAATTTCATTGAGATATCTTATCCCATCCATTCTACATCATGATCTTGACCCTTTAGACTTCTTGTTCCTCAAGGTTAGAGAACATTGAAAAGGAACTATTTGAATCTTTTGAGAATGCTGAAACTGCCATTTTGATGTAGAGTAAATCTAAGGGTGCAGAATTCTTCAGGGAAAGGTTAGAGAGAGGGAAACACCACCTTCAGAAGTGTAGAGACCTTGATGATGGGTATATAGAGAAACAATGCTTCACATTTTGATATTTTTAATAAAGCAATCTATGATTTTATAGCAATACTTTTTGACTTACCCTTATATGTGGAGTCCCCAGGAGTTGTTCATTTTAAGAGATTTGGTTTAGGCTTTAGGATATATAATAAAAATATATTATAAATGTATAATATATGTATTATATATTTATACATAATTTAAAAATCTCACAGAGTTTGGAGAGTTTAATGTAGTATAATAATGCATTATCTACCATGATATATATAACTGTGGTAGCGTACTGGTTACGAGTTGGGCTGCTAACCTCAAGGTCAGCAGTTTGAAGCTACCAGGTGTTCCATGGAAGAAAGAGGAGGTTTTCTGCTCCAGTGAAGATTTACAGCCTCGGAAACCCTGTGCAGGGTCTATATGAGTCAGAACCAATTCCATGCACATAACCACCACCATCATATTAAGATAGAATAGAAGTCTCATATAAAGAGTTATTTTGTAAGCAAATGATATAAACAAATTGTAATGTGTAAATTTTCAGTTATTGGGTTTGTTTGGAATGAAGTATAATTATAACATTTTTCTGCTATAAGTAGTATTTTTGTGAAAATATTAATCCAGAGGTTTAGCTTCATTCTGTTCTTGAACCTAAATTTCTTAATCCTTTAATCTATAACGTTGTGAAAATATGTCAGACCAGTTGCTGTTTCCCAAAATAACATAATAAGAAATGGAAATAGAAATTTAGCTCTATAAATGTATTAAGGATTACTTTTAATCACCCACATAGTAAGCAAGCATAAATAGAAATTATGATAATAGAAGATACTGACAGGCAAAGGTAAGTCAGAAAGATGTTTGTGTGCCAGGTGGACCTCGGTGCAATGAGTAAGGTGGGGTCTTCTGTGTTGAGTTGGTCAGGATGGTCACAGTCTCAAACATTTATTTTTTTCCCTTTTTAACTTCCTTTTTACTAAGTTTGTTTATCCATTTGATCTTAGTGGAGAAGTAACCCCAAGATAGGGGCTTTCTAATGAAGACCAGCGGATGAAGGCATTTCCTGGTGTTTAAACACACTCAGAAGTATTATTTCACATTAGCAATTTACTGTGCAGGTTTACTCTGAAGAAAGTTTTCCTGTGATTAGATACTGTACAGATGAACATCTAGAGATATATTTGAATATTGTGATATATTTGGAGTCCTAGTGTGGCACTGTAGAATAAGCACTAGACTGCAAGATTGATTTGAATCGAAAGGTGGTGGCTTGAACCCACCAGCCACTCCTCAGAAACACTATACAGCAGGGGAGGGGAATGTCTGGCCTGCAGGTCAACAAAGGCTGCAAAATCATTTGGTCTGTCCCTGCCAAGGTAACAACAGTTCCAGCCATCACATTGTTATTAAGTGCCATTGAGTCAAGTGCCAGTGATCCTGTATAGGGTTTCTGAGGGGTAACTGGGGAACTTGAACTGCCAACCTTGCGGTTCAAACCAACCTTGCAGTCAGTCCAATGCGTTAACCTGCAGCACCACACCAGGTCTGACCAAATATAGCAGGTTAATTTTTAAGTTTATAATTTTAAATGGCCTGGGAATGATGTTGTAAATTTTGGCAGAAAAACGGTTTTGTACCCCTACTATACAGAGTTGCGAGTTGGAACCAACTCAACAGCAAATAGCATTAACCATGATAAACTTGCTTATTGCCTTATGTTATTTATATTGTTGGTGTTAAGTGCTGTCGAGTCGATTCCGACCCATAGTGACCCTGTATAGGGTTTCCAAGGAGCAGCTAGTGAGCTTGACCCACTGACCTTGCAATTCAAATGATTTTGCTGTCTGACATATTAGCCTACAGCATCACACCAGTACTCCATGTTATTTATGTACTGCATATGAAAGTCAGTTCACTAACTCAGGTGAAAAAATATAACTATTAACAGAAAAATTGCTAGATATTGTGCCTATAATCTATCATGGTGGTAGAAATTTAACCCTTTCCTGAGCTGTAGGACATAGTGCCACTTACACACTGCCATCTGGTGGGAGTCTGTATAACTGTATGAATCCAAAGAAATGAGCCTCATCCAACCAATCCTAGCACCAGAGATCCCTCAGGATATATATGTTCTGCTAAGAGGAAGACTCCCAGGGAGATGGATTGGCAAAGTGGCAGCATCAATGGGCTCAAGTGTGGCAACGATAGTGAGGTTGGCCCAGGATCGGGCAGTGTATCGTTCTATTGTGCTTAGGGTCGCTATGAATCGTGTTGACTCGATGGCCTCTAACAACAACAACATAGATAGGAAAAGCAATGGACCGCCAGGTTGGTTTGAATGGCAAGGTCAGCAGTTTAAACTCACCAGTCACTCCTTGGAAACCCTATACAGGGTAGCTATGAGTTGAAACCAACTTCACTGCACTTAACAGTTTTATCAAAATCAATATTACCTCAAAACATTTTTTTTTTCATTTCATTCAAAATACCTTCCACTACTGAAAAAACATGGTTTAAACAAAAATTTAAAGCAGAAAATAATAATCTTTAAATGGTTATTATCAGTCAATTTGAATTCCCCCCATTTCCTCTGTATAATGGCTAAATTCCCAGGTTGGGTGGGAACTGGGGAGCCCCTCTGGCTTTTTGAGTCAGTTGTCCCTGTAAAGATTTTTTTAGAAAACCAGTACTTGCTGGTCCTGAGTCACATTTATAGATCCATGCATGTCATTGCTAAGATGCCCCAGCTTCCTGTCCATGAATTTCTGTGTAATACTTGAGCGATTAGGGTCATTTTATTTCTCTTGCTGGTATTGTTGGCTGTCAAGGTTGTCCATGACTCTTGGCACACACTGGGATCAGACCATTGTGGTCCATGAGATTTTTATAGATTGGTAATTCTTTCATCCTAATCTGATTTAGTTGGGAATCTCTACTGAAACCCGTTCAACATCATAGCAACAGTAGCCTCGGCTGACTGATAGGTGGGGGTTGCCGGTGGTTGCGTTGGCGGAGATGTAACCAGGGTCTCTTGAATGTTGCTGTTATGTGCCGTGGAGTCGGTTCCGACTTATAGCGACCCTGTACAGGGCTTCCGAGGCTGTAAATCTTTACAGGAGCAGAATGCCTTATCTTTCTCCCATGGAGCCGCTGGTAGATTCGAATTACTGACCTCGTGGTTAGCAGCCCACTATACCACTAGGGCTCCTTGAATCATTGGTGGTGTTGATGGTTGTGTGCTGCTGAGTTAGTTCTGACTTAGAGAGACCCTGCATAGGGTTTCCCGAGGAGCAGTTGGTGGGTTTGAACTACCAATCTTTCCATTCAAACTAACCTTGCAGTCCAGTGTTTTTCCTACAGTGCCACACCAGGACTCCTCCACTCATGGCACTAGTCACCTACAATCTCTGAGAATGTCATGACCTTGTCTGCAATGTTTCCCAAATGTCAGGCTTTTGCATACTATATTCATATTTTTATTCACATTTTGATGTATCTGATACCTTCAGTCATATCATTAATTTAACATTTTCTTTAATTAATTGAAATGTAGTTTTACAGTAGGGGGCTGATAGTGCTGTAGGTTAAGCACTGACTGCTAATCTCAAGGGAGGTAGTTCAAATCCACCAGCTGCTCCTGTAAAGATTTAGTCTCAGAAGCCTTATGCAGGGTCGCCATGAGTCGGACTACTGAAGACACTTAACAACATTTAAAAAGTAAACTTCATAAACCACATAAAATGGAAATATAACTTGCCATAAAGAGAAGGCAGCCACAGCATAACTGTAAGAAATTAAAATGTTATTACATTTTCGATAGATTCTAGTTCCTGCATCATAGCCCTCTTAGTCAAATTTAAGCAGAAAGACTAACTGCTCCAATGGCAGTAGATCGGCAGAAGAAAGGGCATAAAGGCTAATATTTCAAAAGTATAATATCCATAAGCCTTTGCCTAGCTGTTCGTTTATATCCATATTTAGAAGTGTGGTAGTGTGATAGGAAGAGTGCAGGACTGAATAACACAGGTCACAATCACTAACAGCTGTGTCGGTGTCCTTACTTTCAGGACCCACGCCCTTTCTTGGAAAATAAAAGAGTGCGGCTGCTCACATTTCCCTTTCGCGCACTAACGTGCCTTCCCGAACTGAACTACTACATCCCCCAGAATGCATCGCGCGTCACACTGGGAATGCCATCCTTGGCATCCCGCAGCTCTCCCACCTTCCCTCCTACAACTCCCACAAACCCCCTCGGCCCTGGACCTGGGCCGGGCCGGGGGAGGAGACGGAGGCGAAGGCGGAGGCGCAGGAGTTATGGAGGGGGCGGACCCTGCAGGGAAGTGCGTCAGAAGAGGCGCGGGGAGAAAAGGTTGCTGTGGTCTGAGCTAGGGGGTGAAGCTGGCGGAGCAGGAGGATGGGCGGTGAGTGAGCTGGGCCGGTGGCGTCGGGCGGGGGTCGCTAGTCGCTCGGCGTTCCAGGCCGTTTGATAAGGGGCCCCTCCCTTTTCGTGCCTGTGGTTGGACGGGTTCCGAGCGGCGGGGCTGCGGCTGGGACTTTCCCTCGGCCGAGCGCTTTGGGGAGGGGCCTGGTCGGATAGATATTCTGGGCCCGTGGCCGGGGGCTGCGCGGGGCTGCTACTCCGCCTCATCCCCAGCCCGCCTTGGCCTTTCCCGGCTGGCGCCCTTTCTGTGGTCGCGCTAAGTGCGTCCGCCTCTCGATCGAACGTTCTCCTGGGCGAGCCCCCTTCTGGTTTCCGGACCTATTAAGGTCAATTGAAAGCATTAGGATGAAAGAGGATTAAAAAAAACCCAAAAAACAAACCTAACTTGTGGAGTTATTGTTAATTACTGTATTGTCCTGATCTCTTCTGAGTCACTTCCCGTCTTCAAAACTCTGCAACCTCAGTTTGCGAACCTGTTTTCGTGCGCCTTTGTAAGGTGTCTAGTTCAGTCACGGTGTATATTTGCAGTATTTGATCCGCCTTGAGTCATTTTACTGCGGCCATTTACTACTGCTGTTGAGCCCTGCCTACGCCTTGGGAGTATACATATTTACCCAAGTCAGAGTTGTCTATATGGGTGAGGAGAGATCTTTTGGGTTTGTGGGAACATGCAGATAAACACGTTCACAAGTGTAAGCAATGGGGAGAGTAGAAGAAGTAAAGAAGCTTGGCTTAACTTTAGTGGGTTAGGGGGAGAGGCTTATCTAGCATTATTATATGTTATTATTGCTCTCTTTGTAATTTCGTATTCCTGGAATAACCTTTCCCTCCGGGTTTACCAAACATCTGCAACTCTGTCTTACAAATAGCACCTGGTTCATAACCTTGTTTTAGAAGCCTTCTCAATTCCAAGGTAACTGGGAGGAGCTGATTTCCAGCGCTTCCTTTTCTATGTCTCTTTCACACTCAAACCCAGAACAATTCATGTTCTGCAGCTTGCTAAAAATTCAGTCTGTCATTTATTTATAATTTATGCCCGAAGCACTGCTGACTCGGCTTGTTTATTGTTTGTATCTGTAATGTGTATGTCCATTTCAGTGTTGTCTGTTTTAGTATGCAGGTGATAGACTAGAGAACAAGACCTCTGTCTCCGTAGCATCCTGGGTATGTGAGCATTCAATAAGTCCTTTAACGATAATGAGTTGTGTTTTTAAAGTTAATTTAAAACATGCTTACCTTTTATTTGAAACTTTGTTAACTATTTGAATGTGCATTACTTTAACCATGGGCTGGGGAATAGCTAAAAGGTGATTTTTGAGAAAATTCCTTACAAATAATCTTTGTTTGCTCTTGAAGTCTAACTTATTATTTTCTTCTTACTTTTTAAACAGAGCAGTCTGAATGCCAGAATGGATAACCGTTTTGCTACAGCATTTGTAATTGCTTGTGTGCTCAGTCTCATTTCTACCATCTACATGGCAGCCTCAATTGGCACAGACTTCTGGTACGAATATCGAAGTCCAATTCAAGAAAATCTCAGTGAATTGAACAAAAGCATCTTGGATGAATTCATTAGTGAGGAGGCAGATGAAAAGAGTTATAACGATGCACTCTTTCGATATAATGGCACAGTGGGATTGTGGAGACGATGTATTACCATACCCGAAAACACACATTGGTATAGCCCACCAGAAAGGACAGGTATTCTTATTTTGACTTCTCTGTCCTTTATTCTGGAAAAGATAAAGTGGCATGATGGTTGCAGGCTTGTGGGTTCTTTACATGAAAAATAGTTCTTAAATCTCTCTTCTCTCCCTACCACCTTCTTTCCCCAACTGCCATGAATTGCCATGGTGTTCATTAGTATCAGTTGGATGTGTAATTGTCCTTTACTTGGGAAAGCCTTTTTAAATCTTGTTGTTGTTGTTATTAAGTTCCGTCGAGTCGGTTCCGACCCATAGCGACCCTGAACAGGGTTTCCAAGGCTGTAAATCTTTACAGGAGCAGAAAGCTTCGTCTTTCTCCCGCAGAGCAGCTGGTAGTTTCGAACTGCTGACCTTGCGGATCACAGCCCAATTCGTAACCACTACGCTACCAGAGCTCCTTAGTGTTTATTTATCCTCATTTAGATTGGAGGGAACAGCTTTGCAAAGACTATGGCTAATGCATACCTGAAGTGTCTAAGGATCATCAAAGTTAGAATGAAGGGAGAGTGAAAAGTACTGTGAAGAGACATACTCTCGGAGGGAATGGGGCATGTCATGCAGGGAGAGAGTAGATAGGCTGCAGGGTTTTATTTTCAGTGTGCTGGGAAACCTAGGAGCAGAGGAGAAGTGTGATCTGATCACTCTGACTGATATGCTGAGACTAGATAAGCAAAGGACAAGGATGCGAGCCAGAGAATGGTTTGGAGGCTATTACAGTACAGTAAGGCGTGGGTTAAGAACTGACTTTCACACTTGCCCTTTAATATTACGTAAATTTGCCCTTACTTTGAAGTGACTGAATCAACCCTTAGTTGCAAGTAAGTCTTCTTCACAATCATCTTCGCACTACACCTATAGTTTTTAAATCATGGAAAAGATTTGGAGCATTTTCTTGCACTAAAGTAAGGCTACAGAAGAACACCTTACACCTGTTAGGATTTAACTTACAAAGTTGACATAAAGACACCCTTAGGAACTTGTTCATAACTGGGGACTGCCCAGAATTCAGGTAGGAGATGATTGTAACTCAGATAAAGGTGGTAGCAAAAGAATTGGTTGGCTCCTGGATATATTTTGAAGGTAGAGCCTTTAGGATATCCTGATTTAAGTGTATATGAGCAAGGATGTGGGAGCTAATAGTCTATTAAAAGATGACAGGCAATTAACAATAAGTAAAATATATGGTTTATTAGGAGATGACTTTTGTTAGAGAAAAATTAGAGCCAAATAGGATTTGTATATCGTGAGGAAGGGATGCTGAGTGGCCTGAGAAACTGGAAGGGTAAAATTGTCATCCCTGGAGAAAGACATAATGTTTGATTAAATGTAGGGTCAGTGAACGAGATGGATTGACATAGTAGCAGCAGCAGCAATGGGCTTAAATGTAGCAATGTTTATGAGGATAGCGCAGAACTGGGCACAGTTCATTCTGTTGTGCATGGGGTCGCTTTGAGTCAGAACCATCTCAAATGTACCTGACACATAACATCTAATATGAGAAAGACTATTGGTGAGGTAGTTTGAGGGAGATCAAAGTTCATTTTTTTGTTCCTTGCCCCTTCTTTCTAATCTTCCTTACACATATCCTCTAGATCTTTTTACTGCTAGTACTTTGTTCCCTTTTATTGTGCCTGTGTGCCTTAAGCTTTCCACTGAGAGCCAGTGGCTTCTGTTGGGCATTGATGAATCCTGTGTGTTATTCTGGGCCAGAGATTGGTTGTTTTTTTTGGAAGAATCTTATGTTCTACTTCAGAGAAGCAGACTGCTAGAAAGAGATTATTGTTAAATGTTTATAATTAAAACAAGCAATCATTGTTTTTGTTGCAGAGTCATTTGATGTGGTCACAAAATGCATGAGTTTCACACTAAATGAGCAGTTCATGGAGAAATTTGTTGATCCTGGGAACCACAATAGTGGGATTGATCTACTTCGGACCTGTGAGTACTTTGATCTCAGCAAGAAATCCGTTGGGGGGAGGAAAGTAGACAACAATTTTATTTGCCTATTGTTGAACTCTGGTTTTGGAATGTGATGAGTTAGTAGATAATGTGAACTTGAAATAAGATCTCCATCATTATCTTAATGCAATTCTCCTGTGTAAAACATGTTTAGAATTACAGATACATACTTACCGAATTGCCAGTTACATGAAAAGGAAGGAGACAGCAAGTACATTGGACGACAGAAGTCATCCCCCCATAAGATATTGATGGACCTATTTTACTAAGAGAAAACTTAATGGGAATGAATAATAAATTACTGTGTTTGAGTTAAATACTGCAACTACCTAAGTTCAGATAAGCGATATATGAAAACTTGACTGCAAGTTCTGTGAGGGTCAGCTGAGTTTCAGTTCTGTCCGATGAGTTAATCCAGACTTGGGTAGTAGTATTAAAAATATAGATGTCAAAACTAACTTGATCATGAGCATTCTGTTCTTGGAAGGTCAGGTGGTCCAAGAAGTACTGTCTCTGACTTTGAGCCTCAATTTTCAGAGCTTTAGAAACTTTCTGAAACTTGCCTTGTCAACAAATTGAATTCCTTCCATTTATTCAGAGAAAACACTGAATAAATGGAAGGAATTCAGTTTTGCAGTGATAATGCATAGGAAGAAGTTTATTGCTGTGAGAGTTGGGAGAAAAGTTAATTAGAAAAAACAAAACTTTTTTGTAGTTCCTGAAAGTAAAACCAACAGCAAAAGGCACAGTTTGGTTTAGGATGGTATTAATACATTGCTAATAATTAAGGAGCTCTGGTAGCGTAGTGGTTATGAATCGGGCTGCGAACCCGAAGGTCAGCAGTTCGAAACTACCAGCTGCTCCGCGGGAGAAAGATGAGGCGATCTGCTCCCGTAAAGATTTACAGCCTCGGAAACCCTATTCAGGGTCGCTATGGGTCGGAACCGACTCGATGGCACTTAACAACAACAACAATAATTAACCTGCCAGCTGCTGCCTGGAAACTCTATATAGGCTCAGTATGAGTTGAAACTGACTCAACAGCACTTAACAACAACAATATTAAATGAAAATGATATGTTATTGCTTGATAAGGTCATCCGCTTTCTTCTATGTTGTTAAGGGAAGTTATTATAATTGAAACTATTTATTAAGTGCTTAATAGATGCCAGGTCCTGTACTTTGTGCTTTGTGTGTAATAGTCTTTCCACAGTCTTACAAGGCAATGGTTTATAATCACCATTTAGTTACTTGTTGGAATTCTTGTATGTAGAGGACTGTTTTACTTCTATTCCTGGCTCTTATACAAGTTCTTTATCTATCTAGCTTCTGTTTCCTCATTTACAAAATGGAGGTGATATTAGTAGCTACTTCATAGAATTGTTAAGAGGATTAATTTGTGCACAAAATGTGTAGAACAGTGAGCACATAATAAGACTCCACTGATTATTAGCTATTAGTGTCCTTCAACTTTTATTAGGACAGAGTGTGCTTTTGAACAGTGTACTTTAGAAAAGAAACCTCCACATTGAAATACTGCTTTCTCACCTTTGACAATAGATCTAATTAGAATATGAAGGAACTTGCCATATTGAAAAATCTATCATGGTAACATGTCTTTTTTTCTCTCTTTTTGAAAATTAGATCTTTGGCGTTGCCAGTTCCTTTTACCTTTTGTTAGTCTAGGTTTGATGTGCTTTGGGGCATTGATTGGACTTTGTGCTTGTATCTGCCGAAGCTTATATCCTACCATCGCCACGGGAATTCTCCATCTTCTTGCAGGTGAGTCTTCTCATTGAATTTACCTTTTAGATTCCTCATGACTCCTTAGAGACCAAAGAGTTGTAATTTTTAAATATGCACTTATTAATGCCTTGTTGCATTGCTTGAAAAGCTCTTATTTTGTTCTTACCTAGACATGTTTTGTTTTGTTTTGTTTTATATTTTACCCCCCAAGGTTTGTGCACACTAGGCTCCGTGAGTTGTTATGTTGCTGGAATTGAACTACTCCACCAGAAACTTGGGCTGCCTGAGAATGTGTCAGGTGAATTTGGATGGTCCTTCTGCCTGGCTTGCGTCTCAGCTCCCTTGCAGTTTATGGCATCTGCTCTCTTCATCTGGGCCGCTCACACCAACCGCAAAGAGTACACCTTAATGAAGGCATATCGTGTGGCATGAACAGGAGGCTGCCTGCCCTACAGTTGCCATCTGTATTATCTTTCAGATAATAGTTTTCCCTGCCTCCCTCCTAATTGGTTTTATTTTTCTCGGTGATACCATTTTATCCTGAAAATCTATTGTTTATATAGAAATATACCTAAATGCACACACACATGAACACATATATAGTTTGTTTTCATCACCACTAAAACTTAAATCATTGACAGTGAAGGATTCCATCATACAACCAAACCAGTCTAGATTCAACCAAACCATCTAGAGAGAAAAAAGTACATTGAGACTTGGCACATATCCGTGAAAGAAAAGAGAAACTGACCCAAAGCCAGTTCTGCTATTGTCTTCTAGACTTTTCAGTAGAAAGTATATCTGTTCAATTAGAAACTTAGTTTCTTTGGGAAACCTCATCGTTTTTGTAACTATTTAATCTTTTGTAGATAGCCAGGGAAATTATCTAAGAGGCTTTTCCCTAATCATTGGTATATAGCTTCATCTGAAATGAAATGTGGCAGCTGTTTGTATCTTATCTACACAGTCTCTGGCTACAAAAAAAAAAAAGAAAAATATAGTGTTTACTTGCAGTTTTAACTTTGTAACTGAAATAGTTCCAGTTCATTCAGAACAGGGTTACTCTTATTATTTTTTGTTAACTCCCTTAAATATGTCAGTCTTCACTACCACCAAATCATTGTAGATTTTTGTTAGTTTCCTTTTCACACACAGGCTTATTAAGAGAGTACTCTAACATTACATTGGGGTCACAGAGTAAAATTCCTCCAGCTAGCTACCATAAAGAAAGTCCCACCATAATGGCCCTTTAGAACTAGGAAAACAACTGCAAGATCTAAGATCTAAAGCTTTGGTTGGTGTTAACCTCCAATTGTGGTCTTTATTTCTTGTGGAAATGATGTGCCTTTCCTTGCCTAAGTCCCTTCCTGGTATATCAAAACTATTACATGTGTTCTGATTCAGTCATTTTTTTTATAAATATGTCTATAAACATTGAAAATAAAAATCTTATTTATTTATTCCATTACTACAGCACTTGGCAGATTTAAAAAAAAATGTAACTTAGTAATTTCTTACCATATCCTAAATCTGTCTTTTTTAAAAAATAAAATTTGAGAAGATACTCAAAGAATTGTGTTAGGTGTCTGACTTCAAATATTGACTCCTTCAGATAAAGAAGTACAGGATTAGGATGAGGATCTTTTTTTTTTTTTTCTTTGAAAAATGAATTGGTGCTCTTCAGGTGTGTGTTTATGTAATGGTTGCATGTCTCTTTATCTTTCAGAGATTGTGGGCACCTTTTCTTCCTCATTAAAATCTAGTAGACTGTTACATCTAGGAGTCCTGGTGTGGCGCTGTGGGTTAATACGCCAGACTACAAAGCCGTTTAAACTGTAAGGTCGGCAGTTCAAGCTCACCAGTTGCTCCTTGGAAACCCTACACAGGGTAGCTATGGGTCGGAACCGACTTGATGGCACTTAACAACAACCACAAACTTCTTCCTCATTAAAAACTAGTAGACTATTACATCTTGGAGTCCTGGTGTGGTGCTGTGGGTTAATATTGTTGGACTACAAAGTTGGTTTGAATCCAAAGGTTGGTCATTCAAGCTCATGAGTTGCTCATAGGAAACCTGATACAGGGTTGCTAGGTATCGGAACCGACTCAATGGCACTTAACAATTATTACATTTTAGAATTTTGAAACATGTTTTCAAACAATTTTTGTGGCCTATATGGAGTCCTGGTATGGTGCTATGTGTTAATGCGCCAGACTGCAAAGCTGTTTGAACTGCAAGGTCGGCATTTCAAGCTCACCAGCTTCACAGAAACCTATACAGGTTCGCTGTGTGTCAGAATTTTTTAACTTTTTAAGTGCCATACTCGATGGCATTAAAAACATGACTAGTTTTTCATAAAGTTATTTAATTGATATGGGGATTTGTGTTCTACGTTTAAAAATAAATTAGCTCCCAACCCTGAAACAAGGCTAGCATTACTCTAGCCGTTTATTGCCAATGAAATGTCTGCTTTCTCAGTCTTCTAACTCTTCCCAACTCTTGATGCCCTTTAGCATGGTCTATGGAAGGTGGGCTGGAGAAATGCAAAGCAAATAAGCACAAAACAAAGGGATATTAAAACTGTTGGTCAATATAATTAAATTTTGTAACAATTTTATTATATTTTGTTTTGATTGTTTTAAACAATTATTCTTGCTTGTTGCCACCCCAGAGTTATTTGTGACTGTCATTCTAATATCATTCTTTACTTTGGTGATGTTTTATGTTAAGTGCCGTTGAGTCAGTTCCTACCCATAGTGACCCTGTGTAGAGTTTCCGAGATAACGGCTGGTGAGATTGAACCACTGACCTTGTGGTTCAAATGACTTTGCAGTCCAGTGCATTAACCCATAGCACCACACCAGGGCTTTACTAAGCACTGTGAAAACTCAGTCCGAATTGGATTTTTTAGTTAGAGCATCACCAGTAGCGTCTTAAATATGGAAACGTGGTGCCAGAAGCTCTGGAGCTGAATATGTATATATGGTATTTTAAGCACATATCAGGGTAGCTGAGGTCATTCTTTTCTGCAGAGATGATTTTGTTTGGCAAATATAGGGATATGCTGTTTCATTTTATGTGAAATCCATTTTCAAGTGCACGATGATTCTATTTAGACAGAATCATGAAATTGGTCATCTTTAATCATTTTGATCAGCCTAATGTATGAAATCAGTAGCAAGGTAAATCCTATTGATATCTTTTCTTTTAATCTTTGCAGCAATCCTAATAAATTACTTCTTAGATTCTTAACGACATGAGTTTTGTGACAATTTATGAAACCTGCTCTGAGATTTTAATGTTTCATTTTCTAATCTCGTTAAATAGAGTCCTAGACCTTTCTTCAGGGTGGATCTGAATGTCCAATTAATGCAGTTAGCAGCCAATTGCTTAAACCCTTTATACCACTCAGGAATTTCAATTATCCTTTTAGTAAATGATTTGTTTTCAGAATTTCTTAGGAATAGCCATAAACCATCAAAAAGCTGATAAATTAAAAAGTCAGTATAATTCTAACGTACTTAATGTGGTGGTGGTGGTGAAGTGCCATTGAGTCAGTTCCGCTTCATAGTGACCCAGTATAAGGTTTCCAAGGAGCAACTGGTAAGTTTGATCCGCTGACTGGTTGAAACTGACCTTACTGTCCTAAGTTTATCCTACAGTACCACGAGCGCATATTAAGTGCCTACGCATAGTGGTTACAAATCAGGCTGCGAACCTCAAGGTCAGCAGTTCCAAACTACCAGATGTTCTGTGGGAGAAAGATGAGGCTTTCTGCTCCCATAAAGATTTACGGCCTCAGAAACTGTATAGGGTCACTATGAGTCGGAACCGACTCCACGGCATCACACAGCCACCACCACAGCCATAATCTAATCATATTGCACTTGGATTTCAAGAATTTAATAATCAGGAGTGGTGTTAAGTTTCACCTGCTTTTTAAGTTTTGGTGTATGTGGGAGGGTAGAGATGACTCACTTTCAGATGAACTGATTTGTGGTATGAGAAAAATGTGACTCCAACAACCAGTCAATCTACATTTGATTGTTTTTCCATTCCGGAAATATCAAAGTGCAGACTAGTATGGTTAAACCGTAAAATACAGATCTGGTCATGTTTAATTGATTATAACATGTATGTTATTGGTAAGTGCCTTTTAGTCAGTTCTGACTCATAGTGACTCTCTTTGGATAGGGTTTCTGAGGAGCAGATGGTGAACTTGAACCATCTACCTTGTGGTTCACACTGACCTTACAGTTCAGTGCATTAACCCTCAGTGCCACACCAGAACTCCAATAACATGTATATGTGGAAGGTATTTTAAATTTTAATTCTCATGCAAACTTTTACCAAAAGTGAAAGCAGTCTGTTGAGTTAACCTGATTTTGCCTGTTCAACTCCTCCCGAAGTTTCCGAGAAGCTAAAGGAGTGGCTAATGGGCACAGCCCTACAATGCAAATGATCATTTCACAAGGTTGATGCAGCAGCTCTGTCCTGGCACTGTTGGTCTTCCCAGCCCTCTTCTCATGGGATAATAATGATTCATACTTTGAAAAGAGGAATAAAAGAAGGAAACACATCTGTGTATAGGAATTCATTCCCTCTTGCTCATTAGGTATTCTAACACTTTTGTAATAGATTTTTCTTCATAGATACATGAGTGAACTTCAGAAAGTTTGTGGAAAGTTCACTATCTTTTAATTCAAGTTTTCCATAACTTTCTGAAACTCCTTTGTCCTGTAAACTCAATATGTAAAACCTTGAATTACAGTAAGACTAAAATAGAATGATTGTTTGCTCTATAATAGAATTTATCACATGTCAACATAAATCTTCAGTGCTAAAGTAGCTATTGTTATCACACCAGGACATTGACATACAAGCATTTACATACGTTCAGCAAACATATAAAGCTGAATTTATATTCCTGTCTACTTTAGCAGAGGTGGAGCGAAAGATTAATCTCTTTATTTTTTGTCTTCACCTTTTAAAATACCTGAGTCCTGGGTAATGTGCTGCCTATCATCTACTGACTCAGTCCTTAGTGTTTCAGGATGTGAACTTCAGCTAACCTGGCCTGCAGCCTTTCACCCCTCCCAGCCTTCCAATCCCCTGTTCTTGTTTCTTTACTCAGTGTCTATTGTCATCAGTTTGCTCTCAAGCCTCTTTGATTCTCTTGCTCTAGTAATCTCCCACATTTCCCTTCACAATTCTTAGTCCTTTCTTGTCTATCATGACTATCCCTCTGATAGTCTTACTCTCAGTCTCAAGATACCAAGCATGGCGTTTAAGATTACGAAACTCTGTAAAAAATATGCTGTCTGATCCCAGCTGTTTGATAATTCTAACAATTGACAATCTCTGATTGTCAATTTCCTACTCCCTACCACACATTTTCCAAATTTCTAAAAATGGTTTGTGGAAACTCTTA